GGGGGTTTAAGTCTGTTTTTTAAATCACCACTCAGTATCCTCTGGGGACAAAGAGCGTTTAGTTTCAATACATTAAGTACATGTCGGTAGCATTCAGATAATATTCCGTTTGTGGCGTTTTGCTAAATACGTATTTAAAGCTGTTTTTTTTTAGGAAAGTATTTTCTGAGAGCAAAACTTTTTTCCTGACAAAGACGAGCATCGAACTCCAAACTACTATTTTTTACTGAACGTCCGACATTTTACTGCTCTTAGCTATAACGCCCTTTGAAACAAACGTACTACATTGTATCTGTTCTATAGGCTAATCTGGGTATCCTTAATGTGTAAGTGGTTCTTCCTAATAGCAAACCATATTCGATGTATTCAAGAATTCAGTATTTAAATGAATAGGCCTACTAGCTTGGAGACAACATCGGCTCTGATCCGTCTCTTACGTGACGTGGCCATATTATATTAGCAATCTACTGTTAACTACTACTCCAACAAAAATAATTTGATGGATATTTATTTCAAACGATGAAGACACGCGATAACCACGCATGCAATTTTGAAATTTTCGGGTTGGCGAAGGTATTTCTGAATTGTTTTTTTTCTTTAGACTTTAGATGGTTGAACTGAATGTTCTTGGTGGTTTATTCACTTATTCCTGAAGTTAGGTATGCATGCGTCTTACGATTTCTCTTTGAAAATACACGTATTTATTCACAGACTTGTAGTCCGTCAAGCAGAAGACTACTTCTTCTTGACAAGACCTTGTTTTGATGAATAGCCCATTTCTGATGACTTTCTCAGACTTTCGGAAATGCACAGCGTTGCTGCGTTGTAGTCGCACACTGTTGTCCTTTCTACATTCTTTTACTACCGATTGTTAAGTAGCCTACATTTCAATATCCAACTAGAGCCGAGCGAAATGAAGGCATGAAGATGGACTTCTTTTCCATGTATGCATAAACTCGCCGTACCCGATGAAGCCCGAACATTTACTCATATTTCCTATTATTTATTAACTTACCCTCAGGCAGATTTTTGAATCCTCTATATACATGAACATAATATCAAATATTTATAAATCAGGGTTAAAGCAGAGAACAACCATACCCCCCCCCCTCCCCGGAACACATTTGACTTTGCGAATCACGCCGATCTTAGCGGGCTGTTTCTTGTTCCTTCAAGAAATTACTCCCAACTGTGACCCTTACGATGACCCTGGAAATTACGCACTCTGTCAAGCAGCTGGAAATGGGGAAGGGTGTAAGTACGTGTGCTAGTTTCGGAAGGGGTCTGAACTTTACGTTTATCACTCAGTTCACCTACCTGATCGTGACAGTATACGAAGTGGGTCCGGGACTTTCAAAATTCAGCGTATTGGCAGCATTGACTTTAAAGTCTCCAGAAGCAGGGTCTATGTCGAAGGGCCCTCCGCCGTCATTAGTTAAGGTGAAGGTCACCGCCACAGCTGTGTCAGGGTCAGAGGCGGACACTGCGAAGATCACGTGATTGAGGGGGGCGTTTTCGTCCACGGACAGGATGTCTCCAGGGTTCACGTTGTCAAATATGGGAGGGGCAGCTTTGGGTAGGAGGTTGGGTTGGAAAGGTGGGGGGGGGAGGGGGCGTGGGAGGGAAACATGATAGTGTTTTGAGTTGTGTTTGATTGTTTTCTCTGTTTGATTAGTCTTTGTCATTGACAATATCCACTTATTGCTCATTGGGCCCATCATCATCATCATCGTCATCGTCATCATCATCATCATCATCATCATCATCATCATCATCATCATCATCATCATCATCATCATCATCATCATCATCATTGTCGTCGTCGTAGTCGTCGTTGTCATCACCATCGGCTGACGTCGTTATTGCCATAGTTATGAACATTCAAAATTTCTTTTATTGGTCGTGCGGTCGTGATACACACGCACACACATTCACACACACACACACATACACACACATACACACAAACACACGCACACATTCACACACACACACACACACACACACACACACACACACACATACACACAAACAAACATTTGCACAAATACACACACACACTGAGAGAGAAACAGATACTCACACTCACACGCTCACACAAACACAAAAAATAGACACATAACTACACACGGTCACATTAACTCTCACAAACACACACACACACACACACACACACACACACACACACACACACACACACGTACACACACACACGCACACACACGCATACACACAAGCACACATACACACACAAAAAACACCAACACCCACTGGCACCCACAAAGATTCTCTCAGGAATATTAAATTCCAATCCAACAGAACAATGATAAAACAGTTCTAAAATTCATCTTAAAACTTCGTACTTACCGTTCACAACTAACAGACACGATATGACGATCAGACAGAATCGGATGAGTGAAAATCGGATTCCTGTAACAGCCTCCATCTTGTGAATTCCGCCGTTAAGAAGTCACCACATGTATCCACAGAATATTCATAACACGTTACAATCAACGAACAATTAATTATCGTCTTTATTTTCTGAGCCGTCTGTTAAATGAACTGTATCCTCTTACACTCGTAGTAGATAATCCTGATTAGTGTCTGACGTAGATTTTGGTCCTCAAAGAAATTTCCTAGCCATATGCCTGAAATACAAACAAAGATTTAAAACATTAAGTTTATTGATCAACCTGTTGTATTGATTTCAATATAAAACCAGAATAATAGGCTTATTATGAATAATCCTTACCACCCCCCCCCAACTTTTTTTTTCCTGCGCACACCACCACCCCAACCCCCACCCCATAATCACATATTTTGTTCCCCTTTTTTACTTTCATTCCGCCTCTGTGTTGACCTGGTCGAATACACACATTTTGCCGGTCAAAGAATTCCTTTCCCCTGACCCCAACAGAATGTTTAGAAACCTGTCTTTTTATTTGCAGTTAACCACAGTGGTGGGCTAAATATGAAGTCATTCTAACGTACACACAGCAAACACACACACACACAAACAAGCAAACGCACATACATACATACGTTCTCACACACAAGCTCTATTCAAAATAATGTTATATCGTTACGTAAAGACAAACACAGACGTAGACAACGTAACATCTTATTCACACACACACACAAACACACACACACTCACACACACACATTCACAAACACACACACACACACACACACACACACACACACACACACACACACACACACACACACCACCCCCCCCCTCTCACCACCACCACCACCACACCATACCACATACACACATACATATATATATTATATATATTCAATGTATATACACTTACACACAATTATTTAAGCCTACTGCAGTTTCCATACCGATATTCACCTCTACACGTAATAAGAGGGAAAAGAAAACAGCACACACACACACACTTTATTTCGTTTTATCGGAGACGGTCGAAAAATTTGGAAATCCAGCCTCATAAATACTGGAACAATAATAATTGTGAAAGGGGCGCTTAACACATTAATATCTCACCACACCACTACCCTATTATAATAACTGAATTTTTTAAAGTTCAAGATTATCAGAATAGACGGAAGGAAAAAACCCCAATATTTTCAGAAGACGCGCTTCATTTAGAAGTTCTAAAGAAAAAGCATGACTTTGTTCTTTAATTTAAAAAAAAAGAAAGAAAATAAGAGAGTAATAGTGAACAAAGTCTAACCAATCGAAATTGTAAAAAAGAAAACACAAAAAAACCCAAACAAAAACCTTAGACAAGATAAACACCAGAAATTGGATAACGAATATCACTTTCAAAAACCACATCAAATTAATCGTTCACAGAAATGAAAAGAAACGAGAGCTAATGAGAAATTGGCTTTAACTCTGCCAAACACCTGGGCCTTTATCCCTTCACCTGTCGAACCCACAAGTCTTTATGATGTGAAATATCCTTTATCCTCACAAAGTCCTGTTCCCTTCGCCTGCGTGTAATGCACAGTCTATAAGGAATGCTGTATTATGTTTGGAACTGCTGATGAAGGACGTGGAAAGTGGGTTCTGTTGAAATATCGTCTTTTTTTAAAAACCACTGTCAAAATAATGTCTCAGTAAGCCCAAAACATCAAGACTGCCTTCGATCTTCCACTTGATGAGCTGTAACCCTTCTCCCGTCCCTCCTTTTCCCCCTTTTCTTCGGTCTTGCCGTAACAACACCCACCCGTCACTCGTCTCAGTCGGTTCCAACTCATTTCGACCCACCCCCCTCCTACCCCCT